AGAAAGTAACGCTCTGCTCAAGTGATGCCACGCCATTCTCTAACTGTCTCCACTCATCAAGTGGAAACAATCCAAAGGTTTTCAAATGCTCAAAAGCAAGTAGGTATAAGTGCTAGAAGCTACACTGAGCACATCTCTTACACTGCGCGTTATGTGGCATGTCAGCAATAAGGACTGGTTTACGCGCTGCAGAGGTAAATTAATGGCTAAGAACATTCAGAAGAGATATCATGCGGGTGGGTAAAAGTGGCAGAATCTTGTCCTTAGCTTGTTTTTGCTTCGGCAGCAATTTCATGCACCGTTGAACATGTCTACCTCTTTACATATTTGAGATGTTCCAGGAAAGTACAGCCAGTAAGGCAGCAGTAGGTAACCTCTGTGTCACAGGCAAAAATCCCACTGAAGTTCCTTGCATTGCAGAAAGAAACTTGTGCTGTTGCGCGCTGGGCCTATGACAATGTCTGTTTATAGGACGTGCTTTCTGTATGCCCAACGGGACGCCGGGGTGCCTCAGCTAAAGGGTCTAACATGTTTCCCAACACAAAGTTCTGTAGAGGCTCAAAATAAGTTCTTTTTTAAGGCTTAAATCTTCGAACAAATGAATAAAATGCCATATAATCTTGAAACTGGTAGCTTTTTCTATCTGCCGACAGGGACAGGCAACTGCTTAATAAACTGTTCCTATCTTCTTTGGGAAACCTTCCGACCCCTCCTTGGGCAATCTTTCTGAATGCTGCTGGCGTGAGGCCCCAACTCCTGGCTCCAAGCTGTGTTATGGATAGCCCGAGTGGTCCCTTACCAGGCAATGGTTGTTGCAGATCTGCCAAGCTGGTGTCCTTTTAGTTTCTCCATGAAGGCTGTGGAACTATTTCTTCACTCTCCAGCAAAGCTGTAGAGGTTTTCCTTTCTTCCCAGTATAAGCTGGCTGTGGATCTTTATCTTTAACCTCAGCAAAGCTGGCTGTAGATCTATTTCTTTTGCCCCGGCAGAGCTTGCTGTAAATTTGTTTCTTTGACCCCGGCAGAGCTGTAAGAAGCGAAGCTTTTTACAGGTGGGGTAGAGAGAAGCCCACATGTCCTACTGTAAGGCTTCAAACTGTAAGACTGAACTGAAAGTCCCCTTTTCCCTCCAAAACCTGGGGAAAGGGGCGGATCTAAGGGCTCTAATGATGATTGATAGGTTGATGGCCCTATAATTGCAACCTGGAGAAAGCTACCCAATTGCAAAATGCATAGCCCAACTAAATTCAAACAAACTAATCAATTCAAGAAAAGAAATTCAAATCTCCTGGCACAGCCGTGCCAGCACAAATACACACATATGCATTCAGGGTTGCTGAGAGCAAATACTTGGCCCAATTTTAATTCAACAATGCAATTTCCACAGAACAAAAAGAAGTGCTGGGCTCTTGAGTTAAATGACCTGCATGTTCTTTTCAGCTGCCCCAGATGTCTCTCTCGTTTTTTCCTCTTACCCAAACCTCTCGGAGTGGTTAACTGAAATCCCCATTAGACAAGCCTGCATTTTAGGGACCTTGTCAACAACAAGATGAAATGGCATTTTTTAAACAGATGCTGATCGAGACAAAAGAGAGTGCTCTCATCTTGTATTTTAAGGCAATAGCATACATTTGTGGCCTGCTTCATAAACAAAGACCAAACTCTTTGGAGCAAGCACAGAATTTAAATTTCACTGAAATCTTATTATGTTATTCCCTTTCATGCCAGCATTTTGAATGCTGAAAGCAGCTTTATGTGAAGTCTGAATAACACTGGGGAAAAACACATTGTGCTAATGGAAAGTCTCCCTCGGGGAGAGCACAATTGATATGACTCATAAACATGACAGCCTCATAAACAAAATGGCTGCCAGTTTCTAGAGAAATTGCACCTATGTAGACTGAGACTGAACGGCACAGCATATGTAAAACAGAGGGAAGCTAATGCTGTTTCCTTGGGGATATGTCCCAGAACTGGCCAGGAATTGCTGGACCCAAACAGTTGCTCCTCATAAAGTTTTGCTTCCAAGTTTTGACTCAGGAAAGGCAAATAGGTGGATTCAGCGAGCAGCGTGAGAAATCCGTGGGACAGTGGGGGAAACCATTGCCCCATGCTCTGCACTATCGCTTTCCCTATTACACGGGGGAAAGCGTCATCACCCTGCTTCCCCACACAGTGACGCCATTCTAAGTAATGGGAATACTGAAAGCTTCCCATGTTTTCTGGGCTCCGTCCTAGGACGCTTCCAGGATGGAGCCCCACCAGAAGTAGCCTTGCGTCATGTGAAAAGCTCTGGTGGACTCTGTCCTGTCTCTGCCCTGGAAGCATCCTAGGATGGAGCAAGAAGACAATGTGATGAGGTCCTAAATGTTTCATGCCAAGATCTGGAATGCTGTCCCACTTGCGGCTACTTATTTGAACTCTAAATTAAAAAAAAAATCTTCCTTGCACTTGGGGATTTAAACACACATATTTATTTGCTAGGCTTGGGCAATCCATGGTTCTAAATGGTTCTAAAGTACTTACAAAACTAAAGTTCTGGTGGTGAAAATTTCAGAACTCTAACAAAACTCTCAAAATTTCATAATAAATGGCAGTTCCTAATTGGTTCTGTCATTAAAATCACCAATAATGAAATAATAATTAAATTTTGAAAGTTTTGTTAGTGTTATGAAATTTTCACCACCAGAACTTTAGTTTTGTAAGTACTTTAGAACCATTTAGAACCATGGATTGCCCAAGCCTATTATTTGCTTCAGCTGGACTGGACAGAAGCCCTTTTTATCCCCAAACAACTATTTCATTGCTGCTGAGTTTTGCATGACAACTGGGACCACATCAGTATGTGGTTACAGAAAATAATAATGAAGGAGAACACATTAACTAACTACAACCGTTTGCTTTTGCCTGCTGGGAGGGATAAGATTCAACCACAACAAAACTTTATTACGGACACTGTCCAGCACAAAGTGGGGGCACAAATGCCCTGGGAGGGGAAAACACATATTCTGTCTCCTCCTTTTTCTTGTTCTTGCTGAATTGAACTAAGTGCAAATATCTTTGGTCCTTTTTTTAATAGCAATTAAAGTAAGCCAAGAACAAAAATGGTTGGCGGGAACAAGAGACAGGACCTTCTCAGTGGTGGCCCCTCAACTATGGAACACCTTCCCTATGGGAAATCAGATCTGCTCCCTCCTTCTTGGCATTTCAGAGGCAAGTTAAAACGTGGCTATTCGAGCAAGCATTTACAAATACAGAGTAGCTAATATAGAAAATCGAATGACCTGACAATGGAATTGGACAATGCTTGAGAATAATGAGACGCTGATGATGTTGTTTTTATTGCTTTTGTGATGTCTTATACTGCTTAATGTTTTTTTATCTATATTATGTTTTATGTATACTGATTTGTTGGAAACCGCCTTGAGTCGCCAATTGGCTGAGAAAGGCAGTATACAAATGCAGTAAATAAATAAATAAGGGAAGTAGAAGGAAGAGAGGAAATGAGGGCATTATAAAAGTAGCTGAAAAAGTGCAACAGGAGAGGATTATTTACGTTGTCTCCACCAAATTAGAACCTTTTCAGGATATGGCTTTATGAACCACATGCAGAATTACAGTACTATATTCAAGTTTAACCCCTCATTACAACCTTCGGTGCAATCTTGGAATTTGGGAGGGGCATTTGGTATCCTTAGCTGCCTCAGCAAACTACGAATCCAAGGATTCCTTAGGAGGGACCATTGCCGTAAAAGTTCTTGACAGTGTGGTAAAACTAACCAACTCAGAATGGCCCATATTAGTCCGAGTAAAGTATGGAAGTACAGAGACAGATGATAAACCTCTCTAGTTAACAGCTAGCAGTAAGGGAACTAATCTCTGATAATTTCCTGTGCTGACACTAATCACTGTAAATATGGTAGTACTGGAGGCACCTTTGGTGGATATGATTCTTTAAAAACATCAAGTGTCAAAACTGCAAGCTGTTAGGATTCTAACTGCTTTCCATTGCAAATGCTTTTAATAGTTTAATGATTTCTGTTCACAATTACACACAGCTATTGCAACAGTTAATCAATGGTTGCTTATAGAATGCTTGGCAAGTTGGTGGAATTAACTCTAATATGTGTTCATATTTTCTAGGAAGGAGTTCATGCAGCCCTGTGGAGCTATTGACATCCCTGACAGGCATTTTTGCTTGAAAGCTATGATGCAATCTTGGTTGCCATTCATTTCCAAAGTTAAACCCAAGCATATATTTTTGTGTGCTTAAAACTTCTTCTGCTTTGGAAAAGACTTTTGGTAAATATTATCTGCAAAGTTCAGGAACAAGACCAAGCCCCAGACAAGAAATATAACACAAAGGCTTTGATCCTCAAAGCAAATATATGATTTAAAATATATGTAGTAATGTCAGTGTGCAGCACTAGTCCTATGTTCTTTGGGCAAGTAAATCCTTTCTTCTTCTGCAAGATAACTTCAGTACCTCCCTCTTGTAGTGAATATGGGTACTTCTACACAGTGAATTAATCTGGGGCAAGACAAGCATTTAACAAATCCAGTTGGCTTTGGAGTGCCTACATAGCCATCCTCGGAGCTGGCTGGAAGGTGCAACAGAGGCCATAAAAATACACACATTGCAGACCTATCAAAACCCAGGCTTAGTTTTACCCTACCTCCTTGGAGAGACAGCTTCACATCACATGACATTTATTATAAGATGTACATGGAGAAAAACATTTTTACAGAGTAATAATTGGTACTGATGGTCTGGACTCCTGGCTGTGGCTGTGCAAAAAGGTGACTTCAAGGATTGCCTTCTCTGTATTAGAAAGAATGCTTTGATGATGAAAATAACATGTTTTGGATGTCTAGAAGTCAGAACATATCCGTTTTCTCTTAGTGAGGATGAGGAAAGAGGGGAAAAGGAAATTTGTTTAGGGTATAACCAGTCCAGAGGACTGTTTATACCCTATACAGTAATACACTATACACACTAACCTTCAGTCATGCGTCGATACTTCTCCTTGTACATGAACCCAAACACCAGACAGCATCCTCTCCTCGGGAAACCAAGTTCTGCAAAATACGAAACAAAGTCTATGTCAATTGGCAAAACTGCCCAATATTGAAGAGGCATTTGCACATATGTCTGGGGGAATTAGACATCCCAGGACCAATTTGGAATGTCAAACTATGATTTGGCCCTGGAATGGTCCTTACCACCAGAGCTTGAGCTGCTATCTAGGCAAGAAGGAGCTATGACCTCTCAGCAGCACAGAACAGGAGAGTGATGACCATTCTTACTGTCTCCCTCCTGTTCTCATCCTAACAGCTAGCATTGCGTGCAAAATGGCTGGTGGCCATTGCTCATTGCCCAGACTCATGTGTGAGGTGGAATCAGAGAGGTAGAGTCGTCCCCCTCCTTTTGCTGATCATACTTCATGTGACAAGTGATTCCCACCAACTGCTTGATCCTCACGACAATGAGAACAATATGAGGATGGCAAGTTCCACCTCATGTTCCCAGGCTCTTCAATCATGGGGAATACAGAATGGCCATATAAACAGTTGTATCTGATTCCAAATAAGAACCAATTCAACTACGTACTTACATGGGCCCAGTGTTTGGATTTGCTCCCAAGTTTTGGGGAAGCAAGCATTTACAAATGTGCCAGATTGGGCTAATTTATTTATGTTCCAGAAATCCGTTGTTCTCAGAAATGGAAACTCTTTTCTGTTGTTTAGTTGAAATCAAACAGTGTTAAAGAGCACTACAATACCCTCAACCAGATCTGGAAATCACTCACACATTTTCCTAGCTAGTATGACCATTCACTCTTGTGAGGTAGAACAATCCTTGAAGTCATAACTAATTTAAAAACCCTCGATTAAAAACACTAAAATCAGGACAGTAAATAAAGAGCAGCACTAAAAAAAAAACCAGGGGAATTCCATACAAGAATCAATCAGGGCCAGCTACCACCTTCCAACAAAGGACCCCCCAGGCAGCAATCAGCCAGGCTTTGATGCTACAAGGCCATTAAATGCTAATTACGGTGGCTAATTGCAACATTCACACTTTCCTCCAACAGACAAGAGTTCTTTCTCCCACCCCTGGATATTCCACAGATATATAACACCACTTGGCTAGTTTCCAACAGGTCTCACATCCTATGCCTGCCATAGATGTGGGTGAAATATCAGGAGAGAATGCTTCTGGAACATAGCCATAAGGCCCGGAAAACTCACAGCAACCCAGTGATTCTGGCCATGAAAGCCTTCAACAATACATAATAACTTTTCCAAGTCTTCACCCTACAAATGTGCTGTAGCTGAAGGAATTCTACAACACCACCAGCACATGGCTTTATCTTCCTCCTCACCCAAAACATGGAAAATGCTTTGTTATTTGCTTTATTTACCTATCTCAGCAGTAATACACAGCAGAAACCCCAGGTTTTAACAGCATGTTTTTATATGTCTATAATAGAAATTGACAATTATCATAACTGCAGAAAACATTAGTTTACAACCGAACCCCTTGAACTGGAAATATTAATAAACTGCAGACTGAGACTGACATTGGATATCATCCCTTAAAATTAGTAGAGAAATGTATTTTTTGCAATATGTATCTATCTAAGTGAAACAGAAACACATACTTCTTGGGTTTGTTGGCTTTTACTTTTGTGTTTTTTGATGGAACAACTTTAAGCATGGGCAAGATCAATTGAAATTCAAGCACAATCTTTAGTTTTGAGCTCTCATGCTAAGCCTGTTTCCTTGCCATCCCATTCTCTGGTGTCTTCAAGTGTGTATTTTGACTGTGATGAATCCTCAGTTATAGAAACTGATGGTTGTACTAATCCTAACACTGATTCATCTGTCCCTTCCACCTGAAATGTGTATGGATTTTGAAAAACCCTCCATAACAAATCCTGGTTTTATCAGTTCCCAACCAATTTGCACTTCCCAAAGGAAAGTTCTTTCTGAGTATTTGCTTAGAATGCTATATTTACACTGAGTGGGATGCCCAGTAAATCTCTGCTTTTCAATACATGCAAGTAATGAGAGCCCTATAATCTCCTTCACTTAGCAGACGGTGTGATAAAATAGAACATGGGACCTTGAAGGGGAAATAAATCTGTCTTCAGGCTCCGTGCCCTTTCAAAGCAAAACAGCTGGCCCATGAAGTGGCTGAACGCCAAGGCCTGGGGAAGTACATGCCTTTGATCTCTGGCTTTCTTCTAGGAGGTGCTGGCTATCAGTAAACAGGCAGAGAAATGGATCTAAGCATGGATTTTCCAAAGAGAGAGAAGCCCATCTGAGTGCATTTATGCACCTGTACCGCATGTGTGTATGTGTCTATATCTTGCAGCGCAGAAAAACACCTTGCAGAGTCTTCAAACAAACCGTCTTATGCCATAGTGGGAAGAATTAAGGCAGCGTGTCCCTGAACGCTGCCTGCCTGTGGCCCAGACCTGAAGGACCGGGGCTTTCTCATTCTATACAGCCACGCGGATCAAAGTCCTTTTGAAGTTTGTTTAGTGTGCCTGTGGTCCTTTTTGTACTTAATGCTTCATTTGGAAAAAAAAGAGAGACTTACTCGGTCTCAGGGCAAGGAAGAAATTATGCACACTCCAGACCCCAAACAACCTTTTCACTACTGATCCTGGGTAAGCAGAAACTGGCTAAGTTAGCGGTCAGGAAAAGACAACCTCTATATCAGTGGTACTCAACCTTCCTAATGCCGCAACCACTTAATACAGTTTCCTATGTTGTATTGACCCCCAACTATAAAATTATTTTCATTGCTACTTCACAACTGTAATTTTGCTACTGTTATGAACCATAATGTAAATATCTGATATGCAGGATGTATTTTCATTCACTGGACCAAATTTGGCACAAATACTCCATCCACCCAAATTTGAATACTGGTGGGATGGGGGAGATTGATTTTGTCATTTGGGAGTTGTAGTTTCTGGGATTTCTAGTCAACCTACAATCAAAGAGCATTCTGAACTCCACCAACAATAGAACTGAACCAAACTTGGCACACAGACCTCCAATGACCAACAGAAAATACTGGAAGTGATGGGGAGATATTGGAAAAATAGATATTTATTTATGCATATATTGTATGCACTTTACAAGCATTGAAATGTATAGAAAAATCCGGTTCTCTTTCTGTATTAGAAAGAATGCTGAAGGAGATCTGTGTCCAAGGCACGGGCAGGAGGGGGGGTGGTGAACATTCCAGGAAGGGGGGGGTGATAAGCCCGTCCTAGTAGCAACAGAGATAAGTAAAAAGTAAGGAGCCAATCCCCCTCCCTCCTGACAAGTCAAAGTAGGCCCCTTGATTGATGGATTTGAACTGTAAGCTGTATGCTGCTCTTTAGAAAGAAATACATAGACATGCCTTTTGCATGTTGGAAGATGGAATTTGGTATTCCTATGATGCTAAAGTGACGCAGATAATGATATCAATGTATGTAGAAGCATGTTTCTTTGTCTGCATTTGAAGTGTATAAAAGGCAGTCAACACCTTTATCGGACACTCTGGATGCTTTTGGACACAGCTCCACTCCAGGGTCCCAGCTGGAAATAAAGCTGTACTTTTCTTTTCTCTGGAAGAATCTCTCTTGATATTATCTCTCCTATTTGCTGCAACAGAAGGGTTTGGTGGGCATTGACTTTGAGTTTTGGAGTTGTAGTTCACCTATCTCCAGAGAGCACTGTGGCCTTAAACAATGATAGATCTGGACCAAACTTGGCATAGATACTAAATATGCCCAAATATGAAGACTTTTGGAGTTTGAGGAAAAAATAGACCTTGACATTTGGGAGTTGTAGTTGCTGGGATTTATAGTTCACCAACACTCAAAGAGCATTCTGAACCCCCTCCCCCCAATGATAGAATTGGGCCAGACTTTACACACAGTACCCCCATGACAAATAGAATATACTGTGTTTTCTGATGGTCTTTGGCGACCCCTCTGACACCCCTCATGACCCCCAGGTTGAGAAACGCTGCTCTATATGCTCAAAGAAGATCTTCTTTCAAGCCCTGATGGTGGACAGGGAGGAAAAAAATAGCTGCCACCAAAATATGATTAATGGGGAAATTATTCTCTTTTGTCGAAGTCAGACATAAAACTGGTGGCCAGTCACAGCTAAAATGGACTGCTGTGGTTGAAGTTTCTTTTATCATGTGTCTGACCTATCCTATTATTTGCTGGCATGAAACCATTATGAATCAGTGCGGAAAATGCTGATCAAACCAATTATAGACAGTTGTTGCTTAGAAGGAGTCTATTTTGCATAAATCACATTTTCTTTTAAACTGCAAGGTCAAGTATTGCAAAGCTGCCTTCCAAATTCCTCAGATGTTCTACAAAAGCAGAAAACTTTGTTGTCTCTATTAAGACATTAACTTTAGATTTTGCAGATTTTATTTGGGGGAATAAGTGGACAGATGAGGAAGCCAAGATGGTTTAATGGCTAGAGTGTTGAAACACAAAGAGAGAAAGCTAACTTCACAACTTCACTCAGCCATGATGTTTCAGTTGATCATCTTGGATATCTCAATTGGATGCCTGTTGGCTATATTGGGGGACAAACTATTTACTACAGGTAGAAAGAACATTTGTAAATATTTAATCAGTGATAAAATGGATTGAATTGTGTGATTTTAATTGATGTTTTAATATTTGATGTTTTAATTGTTTTGGATTTTAATGCCTAGGTTTATTTATCAATGTGACGGCACGAGTGGCGGCACCTATGTGTAGAACTTTTAGTTGCAAGATTTAAACTGTTGTATCATGCTTAATCCTGCCCCTTTTACCCTGCTTATGTATAGTTGTATGGATTGGTTACTTATAGCTGTCAATCAGTCCTGTTTGGCTCCACCTCTTCCTGCAGGAGGGGAGTGCTTCCTTTCTTTTCATTCTGCCATCAGAGTTCCTACCATATGGATGTGAGTAAAAGACTTGACTCTAAAAGACCCTGATTTAAATTACCTCTTAGCACAAGTTCTGAGGTTTTTTACCCTTGAGACTTGTGCTTCATGT